AGTCTTAATAGGATCCATTATGAATTTCCATGATACCGTAGGTGAGGTCTGCTTTGCTATGCAGAATTCCCATTTCAGCTCCAGTAGTCATTTTGATCAAATCAAATAAATCATGTTTTATTTTATTTCTTTTTCTTTATTTTAGAGACATTTGGTTTATTTTTAAGCACATAACACAGAGGAGCCCAGCCAGATAAATATTTGCAGGAAGGAAAAGACTTCAAGCCAACTAGAATACCCAAGATCAAAGAAGAGAACATTGCTTGTGCCAAGAGGACTACAGTGTCCTAGATACAACATGAGATATGACCGGGTATCTTCTCTATTACTAATATCTACAGCATGACTTCTAGCTGGCTCTGCCACACTGGCTGCCGTGCTATGATTCATTGCGTCCTAGACTGCTAAGTGCAAAGAACTATTCCATTTTAAAGAAAAACTGTTCTAGGGCGCCGCTGAGTAAAACGTACTCATATATTTGATTTGGCTTATTTTTATTTCTTTTATTATCCACAGCTGAACAGGATGGAAATAAGGGGGCACAAGGCTGTTAATTTCTGTATATAAGAGCCCCTTCCTTTCACAAACTCTGATTGACAGCAGACTCTTGCTGACATTGTGAATCATGGCAAAGTGTTTGGCTAATTCAGTTGTATAGTACAAAAAGGGCCATTACACAGTACAGCAATCCCTAGTATCCAGTCAGTTTATTATTTTAGGTCAGACCAAAAAGTGAGATGTAATGAAATCTGCCCTTTGCACCTCCTCATTATGCTTTGCATTGCCTCATCGAATAAGTCTACATTAGTTAAATTTCAAACATAGCTGCAACCCACTAATGAGGAAGGAGATAGCACACATCCAACCAATCAACAGCAGAGAATTAAAAAATAGTTGTGGCTAGTTTATAAAGAGGTTCTGGTTGTGCTGTCTAACAGGGATACCTGGATCACAGGACTGGCTGAACATTTACATCCTATTAACCACTTGCTGACCGGGGTGTTTACACCCCCTTCCTGTCCAGGCCATTTTTCAGTATTAAGCACTGTTTGACTGACATTTATTCCGTCATGCAACGCTGTACTGAAATACATTTTTTACAATTTTTTGGGGACAGATAGAGCTTTCTTTTGGTGGTATTTAATCACCACTGCGGGTTTTATTTTTTACTATATAATGAAAAAGTTTCTAAAATTTTCAAAAAAAGTTTCCCCTTTATTATGTTAGGAAACATTTATTATTATGCAATTTTTTGATAAAATATAAAAGTCGGGGTCATGTCGGGTAAATAGAAAACCAAACATGTCAAGCCTAAAAATTGCGCGCACCCACGAAACCGCAAAAAAAACCATACCCAAAATTGGCCAAAGGCGACGCTTTAAAAGATTTTACAGCTCATCAGTTTAGTGTCATCGGTGATTGATGCCCCTAGAATTATTGCTCTCACTGCAACGTTTGCGGCGATATGTAACATGTGATGTGTAATTGGCGCAATCGTCGTTTTTGCGTGTAGGCGCACCTAACAAATTTTTGCGCATCTATGTGGGGGAGGGGACTTTAAAGAAATGTGTGTGGTTTTGTGTGTGTGTGTAAACTTTATTTATTTTGTGACCAATTTTATTTTTTTTTACACTTAACTTTATTGTTAGCACATAAGGGAATAAGAATCCCCCTATGTGATATCAAATTACAGTGACAGGTCCCCTTGATGGAGACATCAGGGGTCTCTAAGGGGACGGTGACAGCGAGGAGAGGTAAGGGGGGGGGCGCACATAGATATTACAGACGCCGGACTGCTTGTATGTAAACGGCCATCGCCGGCTGTTTGAAATTCTGGCGGTTTCCCGCTCGTGCGCGCCAGGGGGCGCGCGCGAGCACGCAAGGGACGTCTAAAGACGCCCACCTGAATCCAGAAGACTCCCGTCCAGCCGTTTTTCAACGTTCGGCGGATGGGAGGTGTTTAAGGAGAATGGGGATAGCATAGCACACATCTAGTTAACAGGTTTATTGCACTCAGCACTCAGATTGGCAGTATCTGATATCTGCAACATGTTCTCTTAACTTCTACCCTGACTCTTAAGATGGCCATGTACCTTAAGACTTTTCTGAACAAGAAAAAACACTTGATTTCCCCATCCATGCAATAGAACGTGGATAGAGAAATCTTCCCTACCGGGCTATCATATTCTGACAGCTGGCACCTGGCTGGTGCTTTTTGATAAGGGGGAACATATAGCTCTCTCTGCTTCTTCCACAATGTAGAGCTGGCTATCCGAGCAACCAATCACCACACGCAAGCACCATCACATGGGGGCGAAGAGACAATCCCTAGCCTTGTGTAAGCTCCAACCATAGAGACTTGGAGCTTAAACAGGGCTTCTTCTCTTAGCAGTGGCAGGTGTGCATATACAGTTGTAATCAAAACTATTCAACCCCCCATTGCAAATCAGGTTTATTGGCAACATTTACAGACTTTCAGTTGTTTGCAATGAACAAATCAAACAAAAGCAATTGAAATAGGTCAACCAATGAATGTTTCAAGTGGTTTCCCCAAATTCAACTGAAAATAAAACTTTTAATGACGTTTGCAATCTGAATTATTCAACCCCTTCATGGCAAGCATCTTTAGTACTTAGTAGACCACCCTTTTGCTGTTATAACCCGCTTCAAATGAGATGCATAGCCAGACACCAGCTTCTGGCAGCGATCCTGAGGAACCTTAGCCCATTCCTCATGAGCAATGACCTCCAGTTCACTAATATTCTTGGGTTTGCGCACACCTTCTTCACATCCCACCAGAGGATTTCTATGAGGTTTGCCAGGTGACTGTGATGGCCACTGTGGAATCTTCCAGGACTTCTTCTGCAACCAAGTCTTGGTGGAATTTGAGGTATGCTTGGGATCATTGTCCTGTTGGAAGGTCCAATGATGCCCAAGTTTACTCACGGACAGCATGAGGTTTTCTTCTATGATTTCCTGACACTTCAGTGAATCCATCTTGCTCTCCATGCGCTGCACTGAACTGAAGGCAGGAGAGCAAAGTCAAAGTATGTATGTATAGCTGTGAGGGGTAGGGTGGCAATTTACCTAACATGTTATATTGCCCTACAAATAGGGCAAAGTAGAGGCTTACATTTGAGGGTTCATCTAGAAAGCCGGGTGGTTGCCTTTCGCATGGCACTAACTCCCCTCGATGGTGTTGGTGAGTATAGGAAATTCCTGTACTCATCAGCACCATCTAAGGGCGATAGAGCCAGGGGGAACTTTTATAAATGAACCCTGAAGTCTCTTTTAAGGATAACTTGTTTTATTCTGTGTTGATACAAAAGTAATGTGCCACCAACACGAGCAAAGAACAGTCCGGAACCATAGAATAGCAGATTCCTTTGTCAGGTACAAATTGTTCTACTTACTTGGTTTAATAGCTTGTGCTTTTCAGCTCTACCATCCCACAGCTATAGCTGCCAACTAATACATTCATTTTCTTTCAGTTTTGTTTTGTACTTTTCTTCTTTTTTTTGTGTGTGCTTAAACAACACATACAACACCAACACTATGTGACAGATGATAATGAAGTCGATTAATGTATAAACTTCAGCATTAAACACGGAAGGTTTAATGCACATAGTGGAAAACAAACAAGCTCCCATCAACCCATGAGCATTTTGTCGTATGTTTCCTGAAGTGCAAAAATGATCAGAATAAAGAATCCCATTATTTTCATATATGTACCTTAGCGTTGTGTCGCCTGTAACCGGTAGCTTGAAAAAGTACATCAGCTTCTTTAAGGGCCAAATTGCCTATTTTTGGCCCCATAGACTTCAATGGAAGTACCTGAAAATTGCAAAATCAAACTGCATATCCCCCTACTAGTAATTAGCTTGCCATTGAATAAAAAAGCGTGACAAAAATGTGCAAAAATCACTGCTCAAGTATAAATGGGGCAAAACAATAACAAATGTGAAGAGGGATCTTTACCTTTCACTGCATTCAGTGGAGTGTGAGAAATCATGTGTTCCCAAGGAAAACCACAGAGTGGGGGAAACTGCAGAAAACAGACATCCCATGGCCCCTTTAGTAGAGACTGCCCCTTGGGACATCTGCTAGCCAAAAATGAGAATTAGGGATTCACCAATACTAGTATCGGTATTGGTGCTGATACCAAGTATTTGGTCAAGTACTCGTACCTGATTGGCTGGGAAGCTGGCTCCATGCTCGCTTGTCACCTGGTGATGAGAGAGTATGGTGCCGGCTTCCCGGCACATCAAGAAGCCGGGTGGCGTGTAATGATTCACTGCCTGGCTTCTTGATTGGTCAGGAAGCTGGCCGATCAGGAAGCCGGGCGGCAAGTCACTACCCACCCTCCGCCTTCCTGATTGGCCAGAAAGGCGTCTCCATGCTTTCCTTGGTGAAGAGTGAGCATGGAGCCAGCTTCCCAGCTAATCAGGAACCCGGGCGGCGAGTCAATACACACTGCCCGGCTTCCTTAATTGGACTTGCAGTATTGATATTCGGTATGAAATATTGGTACTCGTACTCAATACCTAAAAAATGGTATCGGTGCATCCCTAACAATAATGATAAAAACCCTCTATCTGCCACTTTTGCTGGACAGCTTGGCCTGTAAAGGAAGTTGAAAAATAATAGATTTTACCGGGTTAAAATAAAGGAAAAAAACAAAAAAAGAAAACTAATGCAGCCACCACACTTAAGGATTGGTAAGCTGCAATATATTACATTTTTGCTTTTGGGTTTAGAGAGACTTTAACGTGTTACAGCTTTTGTGAGATTTTACTGATTAGGTTTAGCTCTGCTTTAATAAGGCTTTGAGGTTTATACATGAGGCAGCCAAGTGAATCAGATTTACATTTATTATATTTTTTTTCCTCCAGAATTGCAATTTACCTGGAAAATAAAAGATACAAAATGTCTGTAGACAAGTAAAACATTGTACAGTGTGGGATACTGGAACGTGGCCTATGTGTGTATGTTGGGGGGGAGGTCGCAGTGGATGGGAAGGTGTTATTTTTTAAACAAATATTACAGGTCTGTTCCTGTCCTACATGTTCAGGATTGGGAAATAACAGGTACAGCTGTGAATCTAAAAAAAAAAAGAAAAGAAAATCAGAATTGTAATAAAAATACCAGCGGGTCCTCGGCATAGGGGGGCCGGTGTTATAGTTTAATTTTATGTTCGTATATTGCTAACAGCAGCAGACAAAGCCATCCAATCAGCAGGCCAAGATTCTGCAGGAAGAACATTAGCCAGGGCCGTTGTGTATGTATATGAGTCATTTCAGGCAACTATAAAAAGAGACAGATATGAATCACACATTAGTGCAGAAATACAGATAGGGTACTTCGGCATAAGCATACATAAAAGGGCAACTGCATAAAAATCAAGCATAAAACAGGAACTCCAGCAGGGGCGTCCCGAGGCCAGGTGTCACCCGGAGCAGAGACCGGGTGACACCCCGCCGCGACATCATCACAACACGCGTGCGCGATCACGTCATCACGCATGCATGGTCAACTAATTGACGCCTGCCGGTGGCCATCTTAGTGATGGACGCTGGCAGAGAAAGAAGGTGACGTTCACCCGGTGGGATGAGGTATGCCGCCGGTCCCCTCCTCTCTCCTGACACTGTCGTGCTCTCGGTCCATGACCGAGTGTCAGACTCTTTAGAGGGGGGTTGACACCAAAATGACTGTCAGTCATTTTGAAGTCACCCCTCCAATGGTGTCACCCGGGTGCGGGCCACACCCCCCTTGTGACATCACTGAACTCCAGTTATTTATAACAAAACTTAACCCTTGCAGTGCGGAGGTAGCCCAACTCCAAGGGTTAATTTCTGTTATAAATAACTCCAGTGCTCAAAGATGCTCACTTGATTCTCGGTCCTGCAGTGGTCAGTGCTCACCTCTCTGACCCTCTACTCCGGCTGTGGTATGTCCCTCGGCATCCTCATGTCTAATACAAGTGAATGCGGGTATTGGTGCCCCTAGTCTTTTTGCTGCCTGAGGCAGGGGAGGGGAGGAGACAGCTTGCTCCGGTCCTTTCAGCCTCCCTCCCCTTCCGCTGCAGCAGTCTATGTGAGTCCTCACGTTTCATACACAATGTATGGAATGTGTGGATGTTGAGGGACATATCATGGTTGCAGAGAAGGAGGAGACAGGCAGGAGGGAGCGCTGTCACAGCTGGCTGGCTCGGAGGATCAGGTGAGTATAACTTTGTTATTTACATCCCTAGACCATAATGAGCAGTTAACCCATGCAGTTCGCCGATAGCCCCACGGGTTAATTAAAAAATAACAACAAAGGCACCTTTACAAATGTTTAGTAATGACAATCTACAAACAGATACTTCGAGATAATTGTCGGCTTTCTATTCTTTGCAATCCTTATTTCTCTTTTTCTCTCCAGTATTCTTACAGTGGCCATGTTTACTAAGGGCAGATGAATCCATCTCCCTTTACTTCCTGGAACTCTGGCACATGTGACTAGGGCATGTGACCATGCACATCATCTCAGGGGAGGAAAATGCTTTTCCCTGAGATCTCATAGGATTACAGATGAGATTTTCCAGCAATGCTCTGCTGATGTAACCTTCCCAGGATGCAATGTTTAGGCATGATTACATCACTTTTGCCAAAGAGGACCAGGAAGTAGAAAACAAGAAACTGTAAGTAAAATAAAAATGTGTTTGTTTAACTCATGAATGTAAGATGATTTCAAATCAGCACGCAGAGCTGCATGCTGATGTTATTTTTAGCAAAGGGAGTAAGGGTCCACCTTAAGTAGTTCAGGGAAATTTGTTACACAGCAAAGCACCTGTGCAAGAGGGCTCCGGTGGGAGCTGCAATTCTCTGACCCTGCAAACATATTCCGGGGTGCCGAACCGGTGCAATGTCGCTTGAACTGTCATCACTGTCCTAGCACTAGTATGCAGCTGAGGTGTCATTGGAGAACAGCTTCTATCTGAGGCTTCTTGCATAAGTGTTTCTTTTTTAAAGGAGAACTATGGGGTTAAGTCTTTTCCCCATAGTTCTCCTTAGGGTAACGGGAGGACACAAACTAGCGTCCTCCCGCCACCCTAGGCTCAGTATACCGTGAGCTGTAGCTCGCGGTATACTGAGACGCCGCAGTATACCGCGAGCTGCTGCACGCAGTATAATGAGACGCCGCAGCTGAAGCGGATCCCGAGAATTGTGCCCGGGATCCGCCCAGCTGCGTGACTGACAGCTGGCTCTGCCTATCTAAAGGCAGAGCCAGCTGTACCCACCCCTCCCCCGTCCGTTCCGCCAGTCCGCGCTGGCAGATCGTAGCGGGGAGGGGGGAATCCAGCCCCTCCCCTGTCACGGCAGAGAGCCGTGACAGGATCGAGAGGTGAGCGAACGCCGGTATGTGTTCGCTCACCTCCCGATCTACTGAGCCCACCTGTGACAGTCTCATTGTCACAGGTCGGCTAGAACTATGAGGTGAGTGAAAAGCACTCACCTCATAGTTCTCCTTTAATCACAAAATGGTTTCCTTGGACTGGTTTTGGATCTTTTAACAAAGGAAGTTGAGACTTCACAGAAATCTCGGACGTTCACTCACCATTTCTACTAGAGACAAATAGAGGAACATTCCTGCAGTGACCGCAAATATCCAGATCTGCACGTCAGGATTGGTGGACACCGAAAGGCCAATGTATAGGCCGGCAAAGGCTGTCAAAGCACTGATAAAGTTCATTAGAAAGGCAATCTTCGCGGTAAGTCCCGTGTTCAGCAATACTGCAAAATCACCTGTATGATAAAACGTGTAACCACAGAACAGTTAAAGAAGAACTCCGCTATCTTTTTAAATGCAAACACTCTCAACTTGGTAGTTAATAATAGTGCATTTATGCGCACCTACAAATTTGTGCTACTTTTTGCTGTGTCCATGATTTATCTTATCCATAGTCCATCTTTCAGAGTCTATTCCATTACCTCTCCTTAATATTGGCAGGAAGTAATATAATTATTCACTCACAGTCCCTGGAATTTAAAAAGAGAGTTGCAGACTCATTAGAATTTTGTTGTGTCAAATATCAGTGCCAGCGACAATTTCATGTACCTGTCGGAAACAAGTATATGAAATCATCACATGGAGGGATGGTATGGGGTGTAAGCTGAAGTGTCCATACTGCGGACACCCAATCCATAGTATATGTTCAGTCCCTGGGGCTGCACATCAACTAGTGTCATTGGTTGATGTAACACTGTCGGACACTAATTGGTTGTTATAGTACTGTGTGGGCCAACAGTGTCCTAGCAACCAAGAATGCTTTGCAATCAACAGCGTCATAGCAACCAGTAATGTTGTGAGCTGACAGCTTCCTGGCAACCAATGTTACCGTGGACCAACAGCATCCTATCTACCAGTGGCACTGTGGACCAACAGCATCCTAGCTACCAGTGGCACTGTGGACCAACAGCATCTTAGCTACCAGTGACACTGTGGTCCAACAGCATCCTATCTACCAGTGACACAATGAACCAAAAGCATCCTAGCTACCAGTGACACTGTGGACCAACAGCATCCTAGCTACCAGTGACACTGTGGACCAACAGCATGCTAGCTACCAGTGATACTTTGGACCAACAGCATCCTAGCAACCATCGACTCTGTGGACCAACAGTGTCCTAGCTACCAATGACACTGTGGACCAAAAGCATCCAAGCAACCAGTTATATCTAAGCCCCCATTCATACCTAAGAGCGATCTGAAGCTCATTTCCAGGAGCACTTCAAAGCTGAACACCCAGATTTCAAAGTCATTGTATTTTGCCTGTTCAGATCTGAATGGTGTGCTGTTGCTCAACACTCAGAAAAAAATACAAGAGCTTCTTTGAGGCATGATCGCACGTTTTTGGCCTGATAGACCTCAAAGGGAGAACTCGAAAAATGAACATTTCATGTCTAACAACTGTCTCCTCCTCTTAGTAACTAGCTTTCATTGACTAAAACATAGATGCTTAAGCCCTAAACATGTGAAAAATGTTCGTACAAACACACAAAAAACTACCAAAGTCACCGACGCTCCAGTGTGAATGAGTTGTAACGGTCAAGCTTAGCTCCTCCCTCTTTTCCAATCATCCCCATTGCTCATGACACTGAAGTGGAGATTTGCATATATATATATATATTAAGCTGACTATCTCTCTGTATCAGTTTGACCTCTGTCAATGCATTTTCAGCATACCCTATGGTATTGGTTCCAATTGCAACTTTATGAATTTAATTTGGGTGAGGCTTAGACCAAACATTATTACAAATGCAAATGTAAATATGAATAATTCACTCATGGTTACTCTATGTAACATTTACACTCACCCCCTATGAAAACCCAACCCTGACACTGGTGCTCTCTTTAATCCTAACGCTAGCACTAACTATTGATTTAATCCGAACCCCCTGAATAACCCTTAACCTCACACTAACCCTCTATATAAATCTAACACTACTCTCTATATTACTCTCATACTAACCCTCCTTGTAAACCTAAACCTAACACTGCCTCCCCCTGTAATCCTAACCCTAACATTACCCCTCCATGTAATCCTAACACTAACCCTCCCTGTAATCCTAACCCTAACACTACCCCCATTTGTAATCTTAACCCTAACATTACCCCTCTATGTAATCCTAACCCTAACATTACCCCTCTATGTAATCCTAACACTAACATTACCCCTCTAAGTAATCCTAACCATAACATTACCCCTCTATGTAATCCTAACCCTAACATTACACCTCCATGTAATCCTAACCCTAACATTACACCTCCATATAATCCTAACACTAACTTTCTATGAAATCATAAAGCTAACCCTCCCTGTAATCTTAACCCTAACATTACCCCTTCATGTAACCCTAACCCTAACTTTACCCGTCTATGAAATCCTAACACGAACATTACCCCCCCCCCCATGTAATCCTAACACTAACATTACCCCTCCAGGTAATCCTAACACTAAGTTTCTATGTAACCATACTGCTAATCCTCCCTGTAATCCTAATTCTAACACTACCCCTCTCCATGTTATCCCAACACTAATCCTCTATGTAGCCATAACACTAATCTTCCCTGGTAATACTAATCCTCCCTGTTGTCCTAACCCTGAAACTAAAGATGGCCATACACTGTTATATTTTTTATCATTCAACTTGTGGGCTAAACGAAAAAATATATAACAGATTTCCTCCATCCATGCTGAATAGCGTCGATGGACAAATCTCCCGCTTGGCTATTGTGTTCTGACAGTGGTGGGCGTGCCGCTGTCAGAATACCTGGACAGTGACGGAAGCTGATTGGCTGCCATCGTTGTTCATTCAAATGTTTTCTGATGGGCTCTTTCGATATTCAGATTGAATGGAAGAGTGTCATCAGGGCCACCCACTGAACACATTTCTTGATGAACCGGCCACAATTCGTACAGTGTACTAACACTAACCCTCTTTGTAATACTACTAACACTAACCCTGTATCTAATCCCAACCCTAGCACCAACCCTCCACGTAATCATACATCTAACACTAACTCTACCATATGTACACCTAACCCCTTGTTTTCATAGTCACCTCTCCTATGCTTTAAATACAAACCTTCTAACACTGAATAATATTGGTGCTAGAATCATCTGTTTGGTAGATTCGTTTAGCTAAAAGTGTTTTTTTTAAATGAATTAACATATTTACTAAATTACTAACGCTCGACAGTATTGTGACTCTGGAGACCTGAATAAAATATGTCGTAGTTTTACATCTCAAATAGAGATCATACATACCCATTTCATGGGGGATCTCATGACAAAGAATGGCAATTGTTGTTGCTACACCAGTTTCAGTGGAGGAGGAAAAAGCTGATCCGATAACCATCCCGTCTGCAAAGTTATGTAAACTGTCTCCAACCAAAATCATAATTGCTAATAGAGTGATTCCTTTATCTAGGAAAAAAATAACAATACTCATATGTACTGTATATAAAAACAAATACACATCCGAACACAATGATACAAAACTGTATACATACATATTACACTGTACACAAACCCAAAGAGCCCCTTTTCAGAACAGTTGACACTAGACTACCCTCCATCTGATTGGATAAGATTAAGAAGAGGGGAAGATGACAAACAGTCTCCACCACATCCAATCAGAGAATATCTTGTATTCATTGAAAAAAATACAAGGCATTCTCTGAATGGAGGTGGTGCTGAGCGAGTGCCCCCCGGTGTTCAGTGTAAAGAGGGGGAGCGGCCAGAGCAGCACCAGAAAGATCATGGATATCGTTGTATTTAGCACTGACTACTACAGTGATTTTTAGCATCCCCCTGGAAACCAGATATGAATAAGCTTCCGTAAAAGCAATTCCTGGAGTTCCTGTGCACATGGATGGTAGTTATTTCCTGGGCTGCCCATTCAAGATGGACAAAGATGCCACACATGGAAAAAGGCCAGAAAAAATTGTGCCAATGACCACCTTCTGACCTCCTGACCCCTGATATCAGCTACCTTCTGACCCCTGACATCACTTGCCTTCTGACTCCTATCATCAGTTGCCTTGTGATTGTGACCCCTGACATCAGCCACCTTCTGACCCGCTGACATCAGCTGCCTTCTGAACCTTGACATCAGTTGCCTTGTGACCCCTGACATCAACCACCTTCTGACCCGCTGACATCAGCTGCCTTCTGAACCTTGACATCAGTTGCCTTGTGACCCCTGACATCAACAACCTTTTGACCCCCGGACATCAGCTGCCTTTTTAACTTTTACATCAGTTGCCTTGTGAACCCTGACATCAACCAACCACATTCTGACCCCTGACATCATCTGCCTTCTGAACCCTGACATCAATCACCTTCTGATCCCTGACATCAGTTGCCTTCTGACTCCTAACATCATTTGTCTTCTGACCTCAGTTGCCTTCTGACCCCTAGCTGAAGACTCCAGTGATGATTGGTTCTCTGTAAGGGGACAGTCCACCAGAAACAAATCCATACTTCTGATTTCAGATATAGCTTAAAGGCTCTGCAGGTAAGATATCTTGTCCCAGGTTGTGGAATCTTACAGAAGAAACAGAAAAAGTGGGACCTCTTCATAGTATACGGAGCAGAGATGTTTCTTCGAGTTCTTGAGAGATCTACGAGACTAATGGTTGGGTTTTTTTCTTTTTTGGTGGGGACTTACGCTACAAGTATATGAAAGTTTGCATTGCTGAGAATATAACACATACTAAGTTAAGGTCTCAAGTATTCCAATATGTTCCAATTTTCCGGTAGCCAGGATAATTCAATACACAGTGCTATAGAAAGGCGACTTCCTGATAAAAAGCAAAAGAAAAGAATATGATTGTATACTTACGTTTCTCTCTCACTCTTAGACTTATAGGTGGAATTTCTGCTACAGTGCCCTCTGTTGGCTCACAATCTTCAGGAATTCTCTGTACAAAAAATAATATACGTTATAAAAACACTAAGGGGGTTATTTACTAAAGAGCCAAAAAATGTAGCCGAACGTTCAGCTAATCCAGCTAATCCTTTGGCTCGCTTTGGCTGCAGGAAACCCTTCAGTTTAGCAGAACCGAAGGACTGCACTCATTAGCCCGTTTGATAAAAGGAGTACCCAGATTCCCCCCACGTTGTGAATGAGTAAGGGGTAGTTGTTAACCATACTCATTCACCATAGAGAAAAGTAAATAGTATATAAAACACCTTACCATGGGGACACCCAGATGCAGGTGAGCCCCCTGCCCGGCAGACCCCCACATGTCCCCCTGGAAAAGCACCCTCCCAATGAGGGCATGTGGTCTGGTATGGTTCAGCGAGGGGTGGGGCGTTCGATCGTCCCCTCCCTTTCCTGCCCTGCCAGGCCAAAGCTGAGATTAAGGGTGTGGTATGGAATTTTAGGAGGGACTCCCCGTTTTTTTCCTTTCTTTTGCCGTTGGGTTACCCCTTAAAATTCCTACCAGACCTAAAGGGTCTGGTAGGAATTTGTAGGAGAACCCCACACTTTTTTTCCATTACATTTTTCATTCTGTTTGCTACCTGGTAGCGAACAGAATGACTGAGCCGAATGCTGACCCAAGCATTCAACAATTCACTCTTGGCCCCTTTGAGAATAGGAGAGAACAACAGGGAATGAACTGCCGAACGTTCGTATCAGATGTTGCATCGGCTGAGGCTCTTCCCTTCAGTTCGGCCGAACATGCAGTGGGCTGAATGCAGCCAATGTACGGCTAAGAATAGCTGTACAGGGCTGGAGTGAATAGCCGAAGAGGCTTCAGCTCACCGATTTGGCTCGGTTATTCATTCGGCTGCCTTTGGCAGCTTAGTGCATAACCCCCTAAATGAATTATCGAAATTATGAAGATCTGTACAAACTTTATATACTGATCATAAAACAGGCTGATCTACATATGTCTACATATGTCTCTTCCATAAAAAAAATATCATACTTGCATATTTAAACAGTAAACTCAAAACACATCATACAACACAATGTCTGTTTATCTGAATTCTACCATTTTGCTTCACAAAAACACAGTCTCACTTTTTATTTTCACGTAGTGATCTGGCCACTGGGCGGGTAGTGGGTGGTAGTGAACACCTTTCGTCCAAGGGTGACAGCTAGGGTTGCCCTGATATATCGGCTGCCAAAACATATTGGCTGAAAATAGCACTTTTAGCAAAATGCCGTAAGTGCCATTTTCTTGCTGATATAGCGGCGCATCCCTGCTTTCTTTCCTCCCCGCTGAGCGCTGCTCTGTGTCCCAGCGGGGAGGAGAGAAACTGTCACCTCTAGTGACAGCACATTGTTGTCTGCCACCTAATTTGCATTTTTCTACTGCTGTGGATCTCATTATATTATTAATATTCTGGAATCTATTGACACCCAGTAGTAGTCCAACATCACTACAGCTTGTTTATTTGTGTATTTGGTATGTCCTTGTTCCTTATTCAGATAAATTACCCTGTTAATGAAAGGGTGTAGCTATCAGAATGTGGGAATAAAGAGCTTAACATAAAAGGAATTGAGTTTTGTGTGGCTGTTTTAGTGGGATTCATAAGGCATGTCAATGGGTGCATTTGTTTCTCCAGGTGAGCTCTATCACATCACTGCCTCCCAGGTACAAAACCAGAAAAGCGTGGAAGGGGTCATAGACTCTTCCATTAAGGAGCAACTCAAGGCAGGAAATTACATCTTTAATGCTTCCTAAGAACTTCTGCAATTGTGGTCTTGCTGGAGCCCCATTCTCCTATGTGTGCGAGTCTCATGTTACGTCACCCTGGAAATGAGAGCAGCTAATCAATGAGGAAGAAAGACAACTTACCAGTTGAATCGTTGAAGTAGATTTGGCTTTTCTTGATGGATCATTCAAATAGGATTCCAATGGAAGATCATGGGAATGCGTCAGGTGCCCATTGACCAAAGACAGACCCTGCACCAAAGTAGAAATTCAAAAGAACACTAAATAATACCAAAACAACTATCAGTGTGCATGTAAAAGTCATCTGCTTCTATTTCTTGGCCTCTATAATGTTGTTTCTCCATTAACATCTTAAGGGGTTATTCACAAAGCAGCCGAAGGCAGCCGAGTGAATGACCCAGCCGTAGTGAAGTGAGCCGAACGCTGTTCACTTCTGCTCAGGGCAGCTGATTTCAGCCGTACATCGGCTGCCTTCGGACTTTGACTCAGCCGATCCAACATCTGGTTCAACTGAGCCAAAGCTCCGGCAGCTCACCCACTGACATTCGCCCCTATTCACATAGGGGTTGAACGGCAGTGAGTGAATAGGTTTTTTTTTAAATAAAAAGTTGAAAAAAAGATTTTTAAAATGTAAATAAATAGTTAAATAAAGAAATAAATAAAGATTAAAAAAAACAACAATTGGGCAGAGCTAGCTGTGACAGCTAGTTCCGCCCAACTGTTTCCTATTGGCAGGGCACCTGCTAGAGTCTTCTAGCAGGTCTCGGCCAATGAATAACAACTAGGCGGAGCTCTGCCCAGTTGTTATTGGTTAATGACAGTTCAGCATCCCCAGGTCATTTGGGGACGCTGATCTGTCATTACAACTGGGCGGAGCCAGCCGTGAGATACTCCTTTAAGGCAAGTCAAATAATAAAGTCTTGCGAACACATGTGGCTGTTTCATTTGCCCAATGCACCATCCCACCTTTTTCATCTACCCCTTTGCCTGAAGGGAGTACAAGCACTTGTGACCAGGAGACTCTTTTGATTTTATTCAATACAGTGCAAGGGACAATCAGCAAAGTGGAAAGTGCAGTAACCCATTGCAACCAATCAGAATTCACTTTTCTGAAGTATCGGTAGAAGGATGGATTCTATTTGGTTGCCATGGGCTCTAGACTTTGCATTTTCGTTTTGGTTTCTTTTATGCTATGTACAGTGTGTTGTACATTTTCATAACTTCATATTTCCTTCTTACTTTACAGCAGCATTATACAACATGTGGTCGGAGAAGCAAACTGCTTGGAGAGAGAGCCTGATAGGATAGGAAATCCACCCAGGAAATCTCAGCCCACACTGATAAATCTGACATATGGGTTTTGAGTGGACTGACCCTTTAAGCAGACGCTGCACATCAAGAACACAAATTCTTCAGCCTGATACAATTTCAGCTATTCATGATGTTGGGCAGACCGAGAGCTCTTGTTTATGCTGAGAGCAGTTCTACGAATTGAGTCAGAACAGACATACCGCAATAAAGAGTCGTTTAGGCCCAGAGAACAGAAGACCAAAACATTTCACCTCCCTGGTATTTCACCATGCTGTGTGGATTATATCAAGTGTCTGTGACTTTTTATCGCAACATTGACATTGGACTCAATTCACTAAGTTATGACACATGCGTTATTTACCATACAAATTGTCTTTGTTTTTTTAGCTCTTATTGCTGAAAATAACTATTGTTATGGAAAATAATACCACAAAAAATAATAACACAAATAATAATAATAATAAATTAACAATAATAATAATATTAAATATACAAAATAATAATAACAACAACAAAATAATAATTCATAGTTTGCATGTCCATGCATAGGGCATGTTGATCAATAATTTAATAAGGAGATGTTATTTATATGTTTCCTAAATGCAACATATTTAGTAGTCCTTTACAGGCACCACTTGAAGTGTATGTCTCGGCAAAAAAAAAATCAGCACATCTCAGCAATACATTCACATTTCTCTATGTTTTGCCTCTTTAAAAATGCTGCAGGTACAAAAAAATACATGCAGACCCTGACAAAAATGCATTGAGTTCATAAATTGTAGTGAGCAGGTACAACTTCCTCGGCTTGCACAAAAATCACAAGCAGTGTTGTAAACCCTATTCAGTTCACTTATGTGAACTACAGAACACCCCCCATTAGGGATGCACCGATACCGATACTAGTATAGGTATCAGTGCTGATACCGATTATTTGGACGAGTACTTGTACTTGCCGAAATGCTCCCAACGCTTATCCCGATGCCGGAACTTTTGGTATCAGGAAGTCGGGTGGCGAGTCATTAAACACCATCTGGCTTCCTGATTGACCAGGAAGCCAGCTCCAAGCTCCCTCGTCACCAGGGAGCATGGAACCGGCTTCCCGGCCAATCTGGAAGCCAGACAGTGTGTAATGACCCGCAGCCCGGCTTACCTGTAGTAATAATAATAATAATAATATTAATATTAATATAGTAATAGGTAAAAATAAAGGCATAAAAATAGCCGATGAAAGAAAACTAATGCAGCCATCACATCTTAGGACTGGTAAGTGGCAAAATATAACATTTTTGTACCTGGGTTTAGATAAAGTTTGCATTCCACTGCACCTATCATTTAGATGTGAAACAAAGACCTGAGTGAGGGCTAGTACACACCAGCCCCACTGCGTTCTGGCCTTGCTTTGGTGCAGTCAATACCACTGCAGCCTTCCCCCCGGAAGTGGAATTGCCTGCACCCAAACGCGTGGCACATCAATGCCTGCATTCCAATCCGGAACAGTCAGAAAAAATGCTGCATGCATTATTTTTCTGACTGCACTGGAATGCAGGCATTGATATGCCACGTGATCAGGTGCAGGCGATCGCACTGCGGCCTGGGGGCATGGCTGTGGTGCCAGGGCTGTAGCTACCATGGGGCAGGTGAGGCACTCGCCTCAGGTGCATCTTAGAGGGGGCTACCTCACTCCTGTTGCCATAGTGAGCACTGGGCACCATGGCAACAGGGGCGTCAGGTGGCCAACACAGGCAAGGAGAAGAGGGGCAGCACAGGCTCCAGCTTCTCCTCAGATCCCTGCTGCTCTCCCCCGCCTGTATGGGCAGAGGCAGCTGGGATACGATGAGAAATGGAGGGCTGCATCCAGCGGGGGGCAGAGGAAGGAGGTGTTATTCAGGACGACCTAGTGGTGAGGAGAGAGAGAGCCACTCAGCACGGATCTGACAGCCGGGGGCTCTTTCTCTCCTCACTGCTCGGCCATCCTGAAGTAACAGCGCTCCCTCCTCTGCACCAACCCCCCCGCTGGATCGGTATATATCTTTGAGCAGAGCAAACATTGGAATGATCAGCTGATCACTCCAGTGTTTGTAAATAACTGGGGACACGAAAAGAAAACAAATAATGATTTTTTTTTAAAAACCCGCACACATACACTCATGCACACACAGTACTAGACATGTGCAAAGACTAAAAATTTACAGAAACGAAAAATGTTTTCATTAGTTTCGTCAAAACTTTTTATGCTATTTTGGATTTGGCCAACAGCACATTCTGCGCATGCGTGCCGCCATCCTGGAGGCGGGGTGCAAGAAGTCACATGATGCCGCGCGTGTGCGGTGTCGGGTGACATCACACGTCTGTTGGGGAGCCACAATTTTCTGTTCTTGCCTAGGGCGCAAAAGGTTCTAGCTACAGCTCTGTGTGGTGCCATTGACTTCAATGCACCATCACGCCTCCTCCATCCCCAGAACGCAGTGAGCCTGCTGGGATGCGATCCAGTGCGTTCCGGCACCGAATCACGACAGAACGCACTGGGGCTGGTGTGAACTAGCCCTGAAATAGGGGAAAATAGATTCAGTATTATTATTCAGTATTATTTGTAGCGTGAAGTATAGTTTGTAAGTGACATGTTTACAATGAACATATGCATTGCCATGTAGGGAAACTCATCAACACTTTATGTAGTCATTACACATAATTGCATCACCTTAATCTAATCGGATTTTAAAACTAAACCCCTCTTCTGATAACAGGGAAAGGTAAGGGAAAGTAGGGAAAGGTAAAAATGCCTAATGGGGTCACTAAGAGTAGTAAAAACCTGTATGAGGTGATAATCATTCCCTACTCTTACCAAAAAAGCTGGGAGTTGGGCTTTAAACCTGTAATGCCTTTTAAAATATACCTGTCCTGAGCTAAATACATGGCTGTCATTGCTGGCCTCCTCCTAACATAGTTGCCTGGCTGTTATACATTTCGATTTGCTGGCCTAGAGCAAGTAGATAGACAGATCAGCAAAGTCATAAAAAAATTAGATGTCCAGATTTGCATAGTATCCAATAGGAAGTAATGGATGGAGAAGGTCAATGTGACAGCCAAGTCAAGAAGGTCAGCTCTAACCAAGTCAAGGAGGTCAGCTCCAGCCAAGTCAAGGAGGTCAGCTCCAGCCAAGTCTAGGAGGTCAGCTCCAGCCAAGTCAAGGAGGTCAGCTCCAGCCAAGTCAAGGAGGTCAACTCCAGCCAAGTCAAGAAGGTCAGCTCTAGCCAAGTCCAGGCCAACTCCAGCTAAGTCAAGAAGGTCAGCTCCAGCCAAGCCAAGGTGGTCAACTTTAGCCAAGTCAAGGAGGTCAACTTTAGCCAAGTCAAGGAGGTCAGCTCCAGCCAAGTCAAGGAGGTCAGCTCCAGCCAAGTCAAGGATGTCAGCTCAAGTCAGGTCAAATAGGTCAGCTCTAGCCAAATCAAGGGGGATAGCTCCAGCCAAGTCAAGGAGATTAGCTCTAACCATGTGAAGGAGGTCAGCTCCAGCCAAGTCAAGGAGGTCAGCTCCAGTCAAGTCAAGGAGATCAGCTCTAGCCAAGTCCAGGTCAACTCCAGCTAAGTCAAGAAGGTCAGCTCCAGCCAAGTCAAAGTGGTCAACTTTAGCCAAGTCAAGTAGGTCAACTCCAGCCAAGTCAAGGAGGTCAGCTCAAGTCAAGTCAAACAGGTCAGCTCAAGTCAAGTCAAACAGGTCAGCTCTAGCCAAATCAAGGAGGGTAGCTCCAGCCAAGTCAAGGAGATTGGCTCTAACCAAGTGAAGGAGGTCAGCTCCAGTCAAGTCAAGGAGATCAGCTCCAGCCAAGTCAAGGAGGTCAGCTCAAGCCATGTCAAGGATGTCAGCTCCAGTCAAGTCAAAGAGGTCAGCTCTAGCCAAGTCTAGGAGGTCAGCTCTAACCA